GCAAAATTTACTTGCATTAAACCTAATTAACAGCGGAAAATCAATTAGAGGGATACTAATGTAAAACAAATGAATTAATAAATAATAAAACAATATTACACTTAAGGAACATTAACGTTTTACTCAGAATCGTTGTTTATTTGTTTGTTTTTGAATTTCGCGCAAAGCTACACAAGGGCTATCTGCGCTAGCCGTCCCTAATTTAGCAGTATAAGACTAGAGGGAAGGCAGCTAGTCATCACCACCCACCGCCAACTCTTGGGCTACTCTTTTACCAACGAATAGTGGGATTGACCGTCACATTATAACGCCCCCACGGCTGAAAGGGCGAGCATGTTTGGTGGGATGGGGATGCGAACCCGCAGATTGCGAGTCAAGCGTCCTAACCACCTGGCCATGCCGGGCCACTCTTCTGTTGGAACACGCTGGAAAGATACCTGTCAGAAACCCAGCAGTACAGAGGTGTGTGGGAATGTCCTCAATTCAGTTGTCTGAAGACCTGGGCTTATCTCAACACTTGTACTGTATAGTATGTTTCCAGTCGTACTGTAAACGTATGGTTTCTTTCTTTCAAAATACACACAGTTTCATCTGTTACATATTTTATGGTGCAGAAAAGAGAAACGTTCTTGGCGAAGGGCTATGATTTATTCTTCTCACCATAGCTTTATATTGATGTAATTCACCTTAGCTTCTAACGTTTTATGATATCCTATACAATATGCCGTTTCTCAAGAGATAATGACGTTTGCTTGGTGATTTCTGTGTGTTTCGACTACACATTTTTAGATATAAGATGTTTGTTTGTTTGTTTTTTTTTAATTTCGCGCAAAGCTACACGAGGGCTATCTGCGCTAACCGTCCCTAACTTTGCAGTGTAAGACTAGAGGGAAGGCAGCTAGTCATCACCACCCACTACTCTTTTACAAACGAATAGTGGGGTAACATTATAACGCCCCCACGGCTGAAAGGGCGAGCAAGTTTGGTGTGACGGGGATTCGAACCCGCGATCCACAGATTGCGAGTCGAGCGTCCTAACCACCTGGCCATGCCGGGCCAATATAAGATGTAACGGAACGGTTAGTTAACAAGTTATTGTTCACTGTGGTGAGCGCAACGACAACTGCATTATAACATAAGTTCATTTCTTGTATAAGTGCACAAAGTGTATAAGTAATTTTCTAGTGCCTAACTTCAACTGGTATATTAATCTTGTTACTTTTATCTCATTTATTTATATTTTCTTCTGGGTGTAAAATTCAAACTTGTATTGTTTTTTTTTTCTTGGAAGATTTTTGTCAGCGAATAAAGCGGTTGGGTCTAAAGGGTTTAAAGCAGTTTGGACCGAAGTTAAAGAAGGTTTGTAATGGATTTTGTTATATGATCGTTATAAATAGAGGAAGTATAAATAGATGTAACGACACCTAATATTCTAGTGTGTGTGTGTGTAAAGTATGGATAAATATATTTTTGTTGTTATGAATAACCAATTGACTTTTCAGAAAAAAACAATTTATGACTGATTTGTGCAATATTTGTTTGCAATTTCTGAATATTAGTCTGTTTTGTGGAAATCTTATTGGATCAATATTGTTAATATGGTTAAGTCTTCGTTAAATCATACTTTCAGAAATATTTAGTTAGTCTCCAATAATACACGTTTCTTTACAAAAAAATAGTTTCGTCAATCTGCTTAGATGGCCTTTTACTCAGAGTCGCATCAATAATACAGGGATTCTCCTGGGACAAAGTTTTAGGAGGTGACATATTTTTTTCAGGGATCTTCTTGTTTGGTTCTTGTCAGTTCCTTCCACGACATCGATGCATTGTTTACACAAAAAGACACACACTAGTTTCATCCTAACCCCCCTGCTTCGTGTCACAATCTACAGTTCTGAGACATGATAATTCAACCTTCCGAAAAATCCGTTTAGCTGACTGAGTGTATCATGTTCACACACCCAAAAACAGAAACTTCTAACTTAATAAGATGAAGATAAAAAAAAAAACGTATCTTTCCCTAGTGTAGTTGATCATTGGATTAATAATTTGGGATGTGACAGCGACAGTTTTTATTTTGCGTGAAGTTGTGTATTGTCTAAGACTGAACCTGTCTTTATACACAAAAAAAGACTAGTCGTCAATCAGCATACTTACATAATGGAAGAGAAATAGAAATTCGTTTTAGTTTCGACGTATCTTTAGTTTTGACTTGTTTATAGTCTATATAATAATTCATGTCCGACTGCATTTCTTCTCTAAGAACGATTTTATTTCTCATCGTTACACTTTCCTTTTTTGCTTGCTTTCCTTATCCCCCCCCCCAATTTTGATAAATGTTCCTTAGTCCACTTTAAAACTAATCTGCCGTTTATCATTCATACTCTTTTTAGCCTTTTTTTTCTTTTCGTAGCCAGTTGTTCTACAGTGTTCACCACGGCTTTCAAGGAATGTTTTACCAATTGCAGTACTTTTTAAACGATCCTTGATGTTGATTTCTCTGTCAGTAACTGAAGTTTTTATTTACTGAAGACTTTTTTTCACATCAAGACTTGTACAGTCCTTTCCAGTACTTTCGCGACGATTTCTACATTAAGGATTACCTGTTATTCTTTCTTCCAGACAGTCATGAAATATTCAACCGAGGGTCGGGGTTAATTTTCACCACGCAGAAACTCGGATACTTTAACGTGGTAAATTGTTGATTCAACCACGAGATGGTTGACCTAATTACTGAAATATAGAAAAAATCTTCCTTCTCTTCAAACTGCCATTCATCTATTTATTATTATGGAGTTTTCCCATCAATTCAATTTGTTGACTCTTGTAGGTCTAGCCAAGAGGTTATAATCTTTCTAGTTTTGTGTGATACTATATACTTAACACCATCAGGTGTTAAGAGATCAGCTTTAAATGGTGTTCATCATATAACTCCACGAAATGTTAAGCAAGTTTTCCAGTAAAGGCAATTTTAACATCAACCCTTCAAGCTCGGAAGCTACTCCAGTCTAAATTAATAAACGTTTCATCTCCAAACCGAGGAACCATACCTAGGACCTCGTTAGAATATAATCAAATCTAAAATAAAGCTTAGGTCTACTGTTACGAAATGATAAGTTTCTATAGAAACACGTGAAAGTGTCGAAACCTGTTTCAATATAAACTTATTTTCGTACAAATGAGTTTTAAACCTTGCTTTAGATAAATTCATACGATATCGTGTGTTTATTCACTGTGGTCAAATGTGTTAATTCAGTCAATAACAAGATGAATTCTGACGTTCCAGAACTAAAATCAATATTCAATTACAATTAATTTTACTCGGTTTTCATTCAATCTCTATGTTTATCTCTTGATCAACACCGCTCTACCCGCAGATCATGACATGGAACAAACCGAGTACTACCAGTCTCTAACATGGCACTAATTGATCATCACCAATTTCATACATGGGGCAAACACAGCGTTGCCAGACTCCAGCATGCGATACATCTATCTACACGAACATATTTGTCATTACCACTCAAAACGTTACTTACAAGCGAAATAAATCTATCTTGATGATTCCTAATTCTTAAGTTCGCTCCCAAAACAAACCAAATTAAACTGTTTGAAATTAAGAACGGCTAAAATGGGATAGAAAACAAAATTCACAATAAAACGACGTTTCGCCGCCATTAGCGTGGCATCATCGGGTACCTGATTTTTAGTTGTTTTATTTTTAAAGTCTGTGAGCTATTTTGTCATTAGATGACAATTCCTAGACTTTGTCTCTCATTACGTCACCACCTGTCTCAAGCCAACATTTCTCATACCCTGAACTAAACTTATTCCTCATTGACATCTTAAAACAAGTTAAACCCACTCTTCCTATTTAGTACCGCCATGATGTCGTTCATTTCGTGAAACGATAGGAGCTTACTTCCAGCAGACTCCTGTCTGTTTAAAAATTTTCTTCTGTCTGTTGTTGCTACGTTTTTGTTATTTTCTTGAATTTGTTTGTTCGGTTGTGAGAAAACATTGAATAATATATATATATAGACAAGTAGACAAAATTGAAAGACATAATTTTTTTATTTTAATACTGTTTAAAACTATTCAAACAAGCAGGACGTTTTAATACATGGTGTAAGAAAAATTCTTAAGTCAAATAGATATTCAGATGTTTTATTTTAATCCTTTTTAACATCTGCCACACAAGTCAGCCCAGCATCTTTTAGTACTGAGCCTGAGATGAATAAATGGCATGATGAAATCTGTATGGATTGTACTATGGTGGTACAATACTGGGAATTATACCATCCTTCCCATACTTGCTGTTCTTTGCAGAAATAGCATTTTCAATTTGAGAATCGCTAGGGGCAATCTTGTAATGCATTGTGCATCTGTTTCAACTTCAACACTGCATCATTGGGCCTTACTTTGCTATTAATTTCACAAATTATTGAAACTATTGATTTCTTATATGTGATTCCAACCCCCCTGCCCGTTTTTTTAAGTTTGTTTGTATGTTTGTTTTTAATTATGCACAAAGCGCATAATCTGTGTTCTGCCCACCACGGGTATAGAAACCCGGTTTCTAGCGTTGCAAGTCCGCAGACATACAGCTGTGCCACTGGGGGGCTTTTTTTATTATTATTATTATTATTTTTTTAAGATAACTATATTATTGTGCCTGCCATTGTTTCTCTGTCTGCGGTAATCAATTGACGAATCTCGGATTTAACTAGCATGTCAAATCAATTGGGATATCGTCGAATAAGTTCTTCCCTCATCCGATCTGGACCCACGGTTTAGCTTAATTGTAGAACGTTTACAAGTTAACTTCTCCATGTTGGCTCTCATAATCTCGGGTCTGGTCCATCGGCCTAACCCTCGAAAATAGTACCAAACCCAAAACCTTTCCGGAATGTCTTTTTTACATTATTATTATTATCCACATCAAGATGTCAGGTTGGCTCGTGTGGCAGGTGTTAAAACGTTGATTAGTTCAGGTCATACAGATTTTGGTTCGTGGGCCTTAAGAGTAATGTTATAATTTCTCAATTTGGATATTCTATTGTTGTAATTCAAACAAAACGAGTCACTGAAACAGTGTGCTTTAATTTCAGTTGGTACGAGCTGCAGGGACCTATTTTGTGCAAACAGTGGATTTTGTATTTCGCCCGACCTCAAGTGCAACGATATCTCCAACTGTGGTCTCAACGATTATTCTGACGAAACGAACTGTAAGGACCGCCCCTCAACCCTCGCATAGCGAAGTGGTAACTTTTGTTTGCTAGTTCAGGATCTGATCTAAAGGTGTAAACTTTGCGAATTAACAGCCCTTTGTTTGCTGCTAGTTCAGGCTTGATCTAAACGTGTAAAGTTACATCAGATATTAAAAGAGCATCATATGTTTCAGAGTAGGTCGCTGATACTTTTTGAGCATCATATTGTTCAGGTTAAGTTGTTATGTTGTTTAGAAAGTAATCTTGGCCCCTAGGGTTTCCGATACATTATATTACTTGGCCGATATAGAATGAGTTTCTGAATATTTCGTCACATTACGAGTTAGTAAAGAATTTCTGTATTTTTAGTAAGATTCCCATGTTTTCAGTACTGTACTATAACACTGATTTATTGGAAGTCGAAATCCTGAAATTTATTGTGTATACAGAAAGTGAATCGCACTTTATTTGAATGATTTTTATAAGTTAATAGGTGGCGTTTTGCCGTAGCTGAACATTGGTTTTGTTCACGTCCAATGCTGCTACAATTGGATTTACACCTGCAGAGTCTTCAGTGTTTTTCATGAAGATGGAAAAACGTTCACAACAGACCGATTAGGACAACGATGAGCTCTGCAACTAGTTTGTTTCTGATTTTGTTCTCTATAACAGTCATCATTATGCATTAACTAGCGTATAGCCCGTCAAAAATGACGGGGCAAGTACTACCACCCCCCACCAAATAATATGCCCTAACCTCACATTTCATAGCTAACTGAAATAAATAAATTTTGCGAAATCAAGCTTGACCAACAAAGAGGCAGAAAAGTGCAGTCGAGGCAGTCAAACGTCGGTAAATTCCTTTGTAAGCTAAGCAAAATTAAGTTCAGTCATGAAATAAATTTGTGGCGTATTCGTAGATTAATTATTGGTAAAAATCGGTTAGATTAACAACTTCTAATATGTAGAAAAGCCAGTGCGTTTTGGTAACATTATGTTCCAACAATGATTTTTATATCATGTTGCTTAGCAAAAAAAATATAACTTAATATTCTTCTTAGTCTATGTACTGAAAGTATATAATGAAATGTATAGACAACAAAACTGGAAAATTATTTATTGATGTTATGATTTAGAGTCTTCGTTGATTAATTGTTTGTTTGTAGGTAAAGCACAAAGCTGCACAATGGGCTATCTGTACTCTGCCTACCACGGGTATCGAAACCCGGTTTCTAGCGTTGTAAGTCCCCAGACATACCGCTGTGCCACTGGGGAGGGGGTTGATTAAAGAGGTTTATTTTTTAAACGTTGGTGATATATCAGAAAATGGCTTAATCCAGAAACAATTTAAGTTTAAAATGGAATCGGTAACTTTCTTTTCATAATAAAGTTTATTCACTTGGCTTTTGACTACGTGATCCCACACTACGTCTTTACATTAGGCTTATTATACCAACATTCACTACACTTGTAAGGCTTCACTGCCCCTTTGCACCTCTGTCACTAAAATCGTAATGGGCAGACAGTAATCGAACTATTCTATGTGGATAAATGCAAAAACGTATGTAATTGTAGTTAAGTTTGAAGACTTGTAATTCTAAAAACCGGGTTCCAATACCTGTGGTGAGCACAGCACAAATAGCTTATTATGTAGCTTTGTGCTTAACAGCAAACGTATGCTTTTATAAAATCATAACAGCGAAACTAATGATATATAGACTTGTTTTTAATAATTTCAAATTTTTCTACCTATTCATTTCTACTAATTAAGGGTTCATTCTTTAAATTCAAAACCAAAGTGAGAACACATGTAGAAGAACAGTAAAACGGGTAATCGTATTTATAATCACAATACAGGACCGTAAATAGGTTATTACATTTATGATCAGTGCCACTTAAAGCATAATAAATTAGGTATTAAAACTGGTTTGATAAAATTCAACCTATTATTTATTTTAGTGTTCTAAACATCCATACAAAATGTGTGAGCTAAATAAATAAGCCACAATATAATGATCAAAAGTAAATAATTACCATGTGAGGTACTACAAACTTAAGGCAAACTTATACATACGATCTATCCCATAGATCAGAACTAAAAAGATGACAAAGTAATGTAGCTAGTTTGACATACCATTATTATTTATAGTGATAAGGTAGCCTTGATACATCAGCCAAATATTATGGCTCTTAGCCACACTTTTGGCTGTAATCCAAATAAATCTCACATGGGTCATCAATCCTAGGTGACCTAAGCCAATCTTAAATCCTTCACGAAGCCTAGAAAACCTAAGCCATTCCCAAATCCATATATTAACTCAGATGATGGCTCTTACTATGACTGACTGTATGCATACTTACTAAGATTAATTCAAAATAATGAAAATAGTTCCAGGTCCCATGCTCTCCTTCGAACTACTACTTCATATTTCATGTGATGTTCATGATTATTTGCTAATCCTTCGTACTACAATTGCACTTGCAAAAAGCTTCTGTGGAAGATGGTGAGGCCAATCTTAGACTATACATTACAGCCCCTAAAAATGTACAGGGACATCAGCTTCTTTGACCACGTTTAAGTACAACAAAGATATAAAAGTTGAGTAACTCTGCACTAAAGTGTTTCGCAGGTATGTAGTTGAATGGAATTGTTGTGAATTTTGTTTCTTCAATCATTTTTCTGAATAAAACAGCTGTTTATTTCGATGTGGCTGGGAGTATGTTGGTCAACTACAGTTCTTTGTATAATATCTCACCTTATTACCAGTACCAGGAAATATACGTAACTTCATTACTGTTTTTTGGTTCCCTTTCGTAATCATGGCTGTTACTTTATGGGTGAGAAAGTTGCTGTTCTAAGCGTTTCGCTGTGCGAGTTTTTTTTGTTTCACCAGAAGACCCTGAAGACTTCCCTCTTCGAAATGTTTTGTCTTTTAGCTTTGTCACTTAAAAGTTTTGTTATACGAATATCCGTCCTCGTAGAGAGAAGTGACATTGTCTGCCAGCCATAAATCTATTCAGATGGCATCTCGCTGTCAAATGGTCGGAAAGTCACCATGAACCAAATATTCTATGTGCTATAGATGTCTTCTCTGTAGCTACGACTCGCACATACGACGACACGTCGCTGTATTACCATATACAAAATTTGTGCTTAACAGCAATCAAACCTAATTTTGTCTCCCGATAGGTCAGAGGCAAATATCTCTATGTGGCTTTAGCAAAAAACAACAACAAACAAAAACAGTTTTTCTAATGAACGTTTAGAAGTCATACTTTGTCAAGGTGCCGCCCCCTGTGTGGGCATTTTGGAAACTTGTTTGGTATTAATTAACAACACATATAAAGAAAACTAGTTATTATTTACCTAGTTACAAACAAGAAATATATGACCTGACCTCTGCTTTTTGTCAACTTTAAATAGCAACTTAAACAGCTTGTTAAGGAGAATAAATTAGTAGCATCAATGCTTCATATTCTTCAAATCCTGTATAATATAGGTTAACTGTGTTCAGTAAAAGACAACTAAAAACCTACATTTTTCAACTTAAATTCGACTTGTGAACGTACAATTCATAATAATAATAATTTAATTTAACGATGAATTATGGAGTAATTCCATGTAAACCTTTTAAAAATTAACGATGAAAGCCATATTAATTAATTCACTATAGCTTAATTAAACTTTAAAACTGTTCTTGAGTGAACATGACTGGAGGACAGCAAGAGGCACCTGGTGGTACAAGTCTTAAGTATCATTTGTTTTTACAGTTAGGAATAATTTAATCAATAACAAGATTTTGATTAAAATATGATTAGCTAAGTGGGCAAAAGCAAACAACAACAAATCTTCAGGCACTGAGAATTATTCGTAAATTCCCAAAAGGCTTTCAAACGAAGTGTTCGATAAAGAGCTCAGCAATGTTTTTGGAAATTACATATTAAGTATAAACAAAATAAAAATTAATGGTTAGTCACCTATATGTTAAATTATAATACGAGTTTGTATTTATTGAACTCAAATCACTGCATTACTATACAGAAGTAAGTAAAACTGGGTCTGTATTAACTGTGTGATTTGATTTATCAAGATAGTATTGACATTAGTTTATACTTAAAGAAAAAAAGAAAAGAAAGATATAAAATTTTTGTGTGTACCTTATAATAATCTAAACTGATCCTTAGCGCTCTCTATTCATAAGCAAGACAACCAGAATCTGATCTATTTCAGTTTCGTACTGGAAGAAATTTGAACTGCAGTAGACTTAAAGGGTAAATACCTTATTAAAAAATCTAAGAAGCATGTTTATTTTATTTCAAAAGTTATCATTTTATATTTACAATCTTCTTAGCAATAATAAACACCTGAATGCCTATTTAAATATATACTACTAAATATATAGTAAAAAGGAAATATTTTCATTTACAGAGTTTACTGCACTTGATTTGAGTGGAATTGGAAGCCTTTTAAAATATTCCAAATTAAATACTTATAATAGCACAGAAAAATACAAGATGACAATTTTTTAAGAGATTGGTGCTCTTTATCATTGTTTTGGAGAAGTGGTTCGCATAATAAATCATTAGTTATAAAATAACTTTCACACCCACCCGTTTTTCTAAGGCAAGTCTGCAGGCTTACGACGCTAAAAACCGGGTTTCGCTACCCATGGTGAGCATAGCACACACAGCATATTGTGTAGCATAAAATGTTTCAAACAGTTATCTTTTACTTTTCGTTTCCTAATTTTCAATTTATTTCGGAATTGGTAGTATTTAGCTTTTGTTTAGCTTCAATGAATAAAATACGCAAAGCAGTGCTTAATGTTTTATAAAATAAATAAATAAAGGTAGTGGATTTCTTTTGGTTGATGTGTAGGTTTGAGTTTTGAAATACTACGGTTTAAACGTTATCGAGTCTAGTACTTGGAACAGGATAAATATCAGTTCATAATACAACTGAGGCAAGACTAAAATTAATTAGTGTTTTCTCTTTAGATTAAAAAAAAATCCTAAATATGTTCCGGATGCGAGACCAGGCAGAAATGTTAATGTTATTGACATCAAGTCATCGTGCATTATGGTTAATTATTTGATTTTGTTCCAAAGTAAGTCATCTGCAACAGTCTCGTGCATTTGCTAATGATGCGTCGAAAGTTAAATAATACAAGCTGAAGATGTAGCTTGTATCTTATACAAGTACATTTGTCCGTTGTAATTCTCATTTTTACTGCTGTTAAGAATAATTGTAAATTGGCAATAATGCCCTAAGTGCACAAACAAACTTGTGTCAACATAAAAATTATAGATTAGTTTTTAATTTAACAACCGTCCGGTCAAAAATCCTGATTTACTCATTTGATGATGACAGTGTCCGATAACGTTTATGTCTCTTTGGCTGAAAACTAATCCAAACCATGTTATTATCCACCTTTTATAAATAGACTAAAAGTTCCACGAAGCATTGTCGTTTGTTTTAAAACAAGTTTCAGATCAACAAGTTATGTTTGAGACCGATATTTTCAGTGTTTTCTCGTGAAGTCTAACAATTAGTTAAGGCCAGGTGTAAGACAGAGATGGCGAGTGGAAAGGGGACACCGAAACGTTTTACTGCTGATCAAGAGATGGGTCTGTTCAATCAGTTAGAGAGTGTTGACGATAGCGATTCCGATCTTGAATTTGACATTGGAAGAGACTGGTTATGAAATCGACTTAGAAAAGTCATCGTGATCCAGTTCCAGTGCTTCTCAATCAGCATAGCCCCAACCAGGACTTAGTGGTGCAAAGAGTCACGAAAGCGAGTTCCAGCTAGACCTGATCCACCTCCTAGATCTACGTCCACTGCCAGAGGTAATGATTGGGCTGAGGAAAGTCTGCAAGATAGGTCAGGCACAAGTAATGACTTTTGAGTTTCTACCGAAGAACAGGCGTGATCCTGGTGTACACGCTGACATCAATAACTCGACGCCCCTCGACTGTTTCAGAGCTCTGTTTACAGAAGTTATGAGTAACGCTTTCATCACTGCTATCAACGAGTACGCCAAAGCACAAATTGGAAACAAAACGAGAGATGGTCGAGGTATCTGAACTGGACTCTCTGTACCAACTATGAGCTGCTGAAGTTTCTTGCAATGACAACATCAATGGGCATGGATAAATGACCTAGTATTCGAGACTACTTCTCCACCCACCAGTCTCTCTACACACTCTTCTATCACCAAATGTTCAACAAGGAGAAGTTTGCTACTTACTCAACAATGCTTTATGTGGGTACCCCTGATGCTGAAGGGAAAAACAAAATTAAGAAAACCGAAATTTTATAAGGTATGGTGATAATTGGACATCATGAAAATAATTCCGGCAGAACGCGCAAAAAATGATGGGTTTAAAGAGATAATAATGTTATCTATATTGGAAATATTCTCATATTTAGAAATGAGGTTCTTAGTGTGTTTATGTAGGAGGATGTTTAAGAAGTGCATAATATTTTTGTATCTTGCATATTTATCTTTGCTTCATTTTTGAACTTCTTCCACAATTTTTAACAAAACGATTTGAAGTTTTATATGCTTGTTCTTGACAACTACTTAATACGAACGAGTAAGCACATTTTCGAAATAGTTGTGAAGAAGCCGAAAAATTCGGGTAAGTGTTTTTTTTAATGGTACTCAGATATGGTTGGACCGATTTACTTGTAATTTGTTATTAGTAAGATCTTAAACAATCTAAATTTAGATTTTTAATTTTTCGAATTTAGCCATCCATACAAGAATCAAGGGGTTTCCCGTGGCTCTTGGGACTGGATCCACGAATTTATAATAAAATTGACACATACATGCAAGAGACCGTTCAAAATAAACATCTACGTTTATATCTTTGATATTTTCACATCAGTGCATACTAATAAGGGGGGAGGGTGAGAAATCAAGGGGTTCCCAGGATTGACTACAAGAATTTACTTTTAAATTGACAAGCGCGAGTAAACAGTCACTCAAACCAATGAGTGCATTTTTTTTTTTTACGTCGTTGTTATTTCTAAATTTTCACGGGTAATTTACTTCTGTAAATCAAAATAGATTCTTTAAATTTCGAAATGCTGCCTAGAATATAATACACATGATTATGTATAAATGAAACGACCGCGAACTCCAGAGCATCTTTCGTAGTTGTTTAATATTTTCGCTTTATGCCATCATTAGGATAATTTGAAGTTATTGTAGAAAATTTATGCTGAAATTGTATGTTCGCGATGAAGGTGTAAAGCCGAAACGTTGAGAAAATGAAACAATTTTTAGACTCTATGGAGCTCCTTGTCGTTGCAGTGATACTTCTAATAGTTTGTCGAGTTCCTCGATTTTTGTTTCGGTTTCATGTAATTATGCACAAACTACAAGTTTAAATAAGTTTTAAAATTGCTTTAACACTGTTACTTAACATCTTCAACATTTTTTTCTTTTTTTTTAGGTGTCAGGACTGTTGAAGTTAAAAAGGGTCTAATCATAGGAATAAGTGTTGGAGTGGCTTTGCTTTCCGTGTCAGTTTTATGTGTTGTGTGTCATAGAAAAAAAAGGAGAAGAAGAAGAAGAAGACGGCGCAATTCGGTTCCTCCATTTGAACGCCCTCCACAACCGCCAAGAGAAGTTCCTGGCATGCATTTTGTTTGTGTAGATAGTGTTTGACGTCATCTACGATTTCTCCGAACATTTACTTGCTGTACAGCAGCCCGAAAAGGTGGCACGAACAGGTACTACTACAACCAGAGTTTCTATGGAATGGGAGAGAGAGTTTGAGATATATTAAAACAATGCTTACTTGCAGAATACGGTTGAGTAAAGTGTACATTTTCCTGAAGTAGAGTGACCACTGGCGGGTCGATTAAACTCTTTCCGTTTTGATTTTCTCACGTAAAATCCCTCCTTTCGTCGTATACCAGCGTATCCCATAGCTTAGACATTGTGCCAGTAATGACGTAATTGTATTATAACTATTTCATTACGAATTAGAAATTTTGGAAACGATATACGAAGAGGGTTTTAAGATCAGATTCATATGTCATTTAAAAATAAATCACGAAATTTATTGCAAAAAATAAAGGTAAATATTATGATCATATATACACGATTGCTGCGAATTGAAGGCAAATTTTGGGCACTTATAAAATATTTGCAAAGTTAAACGTCAATGAGACATGTTTTCTGTAAGTGATGTTAAAAATTACAAATATTTAATATATAAACGTTTCATTTTGTTGACTGTTTTTAAATTTCAATATCGAAATTTAAAAGCAATCTAAATTTTCAGTTTAAAATTCTAAGCAATACTTTCAGTCAATGTAATTATGATATTTTAGAATAATACATTAAAAATTTTGAAAAAGCAACGAAGTTTGTTTTTCATTGCGAAAAATGAAATTTTCGACAGTCGCATGTATAATGTTGAAAGGCGACATAAAATTGCAACAAAATTAAATAAACTTACTACCAAATTTCAATGAGTCGAGAATTTTTTATTGTGGGGGAAACTTAAGATTTCTTTAACAGTTAATTATAATTAGCACATGCAATTACTTGCATTATTTCCTCATGGCTTCCAACACTTTGTCTCCTTAAATTACGTGGTATTGTTTCGTATTTGCTCACTTTTATTATTCTCTTTACGCAGTTCGTTTTTTGTTGTTTTTTTTTCAATGTTATATTATGCTAAAATTTACAGAAGAACAAGCATGAAGCTAAAATACGAGCACAAAAATGAGTCGATATGAAGTTATTTTACTTTTAGCCTTTTGAATTCCTTTCAAAACCATGTATTTAAATAAGTTACGATTTGATATAACGAAAATGGGTTTGTAAATGTTTAAGCCACGACAATAAATTTGTTTGCAAAGCGCAAACTTGTACAAGGATTACCTGGGCTTTACCCAACGTGGATACCGAAATTTTAGTGTTATAAGCCCTAAGACTTACCACTGAGCTACGAAGGAATACGACAATAACAAACGTATTTTGGCACGACTGTTGATGACGAGTAGTTTCCAGAATGTAATTATTGTATAGGTTTAAAGTAGATGTAATGGTATCACAAAATAATCGGAATAACAGGAATAATGGTAACAACGTCAGAACAATTTCAGTTACCTGTTACAGATGCAGTTTTATTAGTGGGCGAAATTTATTAAGAATCCACAAACTAGTGATGCAAGTCTATAATTAATGAAATTAAGTATGCTGAAAAAATCAGAAAATAGCTTATAAACGTAAAGCAATGGTCCTTATAGTAGTTGAATATTCACTAGTTTGAGGGTTATTCTGATAGTATAAGGCACATCTGCCATGATTAGCATAGTTTCTGTATAAGGTTGGTGGTTAGGTCGCTCGAATCGCACGTTACCAAACGTAATGGGCCTTTCAGGCGTTATAATATGACGGACAAACTCACTATTCGTTGGTGAAGAGCAGTCCAAAAGTTGGTGGTGGGTGATGCTGACTAGTTGCCTTCCCTCTAGTCTACTACTTCTAAATTAGGGACGGCTGGCACAGATATCCCTCGAATAGCTTGGCACGAAATTCAACAAATTGATTTGTATATCATCAGGAACTGTGCTTTAAATAAGCAATATCTTGGCCAGCCTTTCGTTCATAAACTTAAATGTGATTTGATTTTGATGGAGAACAACGCTCGTTTCCCATGCGAATCTCTAACTTTAAAAGGAAAGTGTTGTGAAAATGGACTGACCAGTATAGTGTATACACAAATGGACTTTGGGGGGGTTGATCCCATTCCTTATCTCTGACGTGAAGGATATAGGGAATTTATACTCGATATTAGATTTAAAAACTAAATGTATCCATACATTTAATATATATCATGTATATTTTTCTCGTCACAAAAGCTCTAAATTTTGACGAGATAAGTGAAGCCCAGTCTGTTCTTAGACTTTCCACACTTATCATCGAGATAGACCTGGTTTGGAAAGTTCCATCTCACCTACAACGCTAAAATCCGGGGTTCGATTCCCCGTGGTTGACAGAGCGCGTATAACCTTTTGTGTATTTTTTTAATTTGCACTAAAACTACATTAATGTAGCCACACTGACCTCGTCAGGATTGGGTCATATAATTTGGGCAAATCCTAAGATTCTTTCGAGGGGAAGGGTAGTGTTAACCCGATTCCAAGAAACGGAGTCTTTTCTTTCAAAACTTAAGTAAATGTATTACATTTCTATCGGAATTATGGGGTCAGTAATTTTTGCCCCAGTGGCGAAAGCTTCGTGGCTGTGCCAGTTAGTTCAATTAAGAATATGTGACATTTCAAGAGCAATACGCGCCAGTGTAGGAGAGTAATCATAACACTTATTGTGAAGAATGTAAGTGAGTGTACTAATAACCAGGTATAGTATGATGTTCGAATTAATATGCAGTCGCATTCAAATAACTTAGTGTTGTAAGTAGTATAGACAAGTCGAGATTAAATATCTCACTCAAGTTTAGTGACTGCATAGAATACCGTGATAATCAATGTTAGTTAGATCTTTTGTGCCCAATCTCCTTTCTGGTTTGTGGATACCCATATATCGAACTTGGTTATATGGGTAACAGTTTGAAGTTTTTATCCCCACCACGTACTTTAAACACCGTTTCGATTAATTCAATATAATTTTGACTTGGTCACCATTTGTAGGGTTGCGACCTTTATTAAATTTGTACATACCAACACGTATTGTTCATTTAAGTTATCTGCGCAATATGTTTACATATATAAACCCTTTACATATTAACAGTTTTGAAAAAAATACTACTACAAGATATTTAGTCTTATATGCTGGATCGAAGCTCAAGGTAAAATAGCATGGGAAGTAGTGAAAAAATAATGCTGCCATGCTTTGTGTTGAATTAAGAACGCCTCTGGTGATTTTGGGTTTGTTAAACTATAGTATATTTTATCTTTAGAATCCTTTTAATGAAAGGATGTTGGTTTGTGAGAGCAATAACTGATAATTTTAAATGCTTGTGTTTTCGTTTGAACACCAATCGGAGCTTGAAGCAAAATCGCTCGATTTTGCCTACTAGTTGCATCTGTGACGTTTCAACCAATCGGAGCTTGAAGCAAAATCGCTCGATTTGGTCTACTAGCTGCATCTGTGACGTTTCACCCAATCGGAGCTTGAAGCAAAATCGCTCGATTTGGTCTACTAGCTGCTTCTGTGACGTTTCAACCAATCGGAGCTTGAAGCAAAATCGCTCGATTTGGTCTACTAGCTGCTTCTGTGACGTTTCAACCAATCGGAGCTTGAAGCAAAATCGCTCGATTTGGTCTACTAGCTGCATCTGTGACGATTCACTGGCAGATCTTATAACTGAGGAAAAGTTGTCAGGAACGCCATTATACTTTCACAAATATATAAACATCCCAACTTATTGTAGACATATTCGTGTGCTAAAGGAGAAATGCTAAAAAGTATCTTCTAATGTCGTAGAAGATACTATGTACTTTCGGCTGTGGGCGTTTTACAAAATGAGTTATTTGTTATTTAGTTCATAGAACCGGAGAAAGTCTATATGGCAGCGGTGGCTCTCTGTCCAGTAAAACAGAATTAGGGACAGCTAAGTAAAATCTTTATATAATGCTCGCTTTTATTACTAAGTTCAGTCCAACAAACATAAAACATTATTAATCTTAACATTTTTATCACATTATAATTTTAAAAAACGCAGTTACTTAAAAACAAGTCGATGTCACAGAAAATCTGGCCAGTTGTTATCCTCTACTTCTGGTTCAAACTTTCTCTTATCCATCAAGATTTGATTACTGAAAGCAAGCCAACTTACGCGGAAATTTGTGTAGTGTCGTTTATTTAAATGCAAAAGTTTTATCTTTTCAACTGCGTGATAGAATCCATAAACCTATAAAATAACATTCAGTGAACCTTCTTTAACCACTCTTTTTAATACATCAGAAAATAAAGGTTTCTGGTTTATTGGTATCGAGAGATGTACTTAGTGTACAATGATATTTTTTTTTAGCCTTGATGAGACAAACATTAGGCCACGACTACTTCTGAAATTTTTTCACCAACAATTCTATTTTTGCATAGGTCTGGTGCTCCAAGTTTATCTACATTTCTTTCCTTTTTTTTCTCCAATACCACCAAATACAAGGGATATCATTGTCACTTAAATTCAAAATTTGGACAAACATTTGGTCAAGGCTTCTTCTGGAATGTTTTTCACTAACAAAGTTTTTGACAGAAAATAGACAAATGTTCATCCGTGAATATCCCCAGTTGGCTTCATTTTGGACAAATGTTCATCCGTTTATTTGGCCAAGGCTTCTTCTGGAATGTTTTTCACTAACAAAGTTTTTGACAGAAAATAGACAAATGTTCATCCGTGAATATCCCCAGTTGGCTTCATTTTAGACAAATGTGTTGTTTCTTAAACAGAACAGATCCATTCAATATATGACAGGGTGCAAGGGAGACACGAGGGCTGTTGGTCATAAGGACTAAAACACAACCTTTACACTACACTAAAGTGAGATTTTTTAAGATTCTATAGAAGTGATGGCATCTCATGCTTTTTGATGTCAAAGGGAATTTTTGATCCCTTTACAGTTATCCAACTGTGTGAAAAAATGAACACAACTGATAATGATGACACTTAAAAATTTACAGCAGTTATGAAATTATGTTAATCAAAGTCCTCATCACTCGGTCCTTTCCCGAATGTGGATTGACAAGAACAATTATAACACTAAGGTCGAGTACGTTATATTATAACGATTTTGGAGCCTCATCACATTACAGTCCATGTTGCCACATCTGCTTATACCCTTATCTAACTGTGAATCTTGACAACAGCCCTTCAACACAGATTTCATTGGTAAAGGAATAATAGTAGGGCTCTCATCTGAAACACACAACTACTCTCTGATGGCTTTCATAATCCACCTAGTGTACAAAGATGACAGTTACCCAGTGCCCATTTCAACAGTCCAATTACAGAGAAATCCATAGCTGCATGTCCAGCAATGTGGCTGGCATGTCTTCATATAGAATAACATAAATAACCATTTCATTCTTTACTTGCCTGAGGTATGCTAATGGTTGAAGTTAGGTTGTGAAAGTGGCATATGTACATGTAGCTTGTGTCACTTTTCCAGATAGAGATCCTTCTTCATTATGTTGCATCACACTACCTATGAAATGCAGTCACATAAAAATGTAGTTCTTACACACAGTTGTCATGTGGCTTGCTGATTTGTATATTAAAAATTGTTTTAATATAATGTACTCAACCCTTTGCATTTTAACCAATAAGCACAATTTCAGAGAGATTCGATGAAAATAATATCTTACTACATCAATCAACAACAAGCTTAGAGATAGTTCAGACTCCATCCCATACTCAATCTATGCAGTATAACAGATCCTTCCAACCCCCCCAAAAAAAAGGCAAGCAAAGCTACACTTGTAACCTACACCTTAAAATAAGATAGTCCATTCAGCAAAATTCATCACTGTTAAAAAGATTTTGAAGTAAAAAACAAAATACTACATAAAATATTTTAGGCTAATAGAGGTGCATACATATTAACAGGATAGAATTATGAAATGGATGCCACTACCCTGGCTCCCCAATCCATCCCAAACTAAGAGAAAAATATAACAAAAATTAATCAAAAACTGGATGTCTTATTAAAAACCATATGTTCACAACTGTGTCACTATTGCAAAAGCACTTTGTCATTTTATATATACTTATTTTGTGATTTTTTTTTATTAAAATGTCTTAGTTTTTCATAAATATTTCCTTGACCATTAAATAAAAAAATTGTCATTACATCATAATTTATTATAAATATTGAATCAGAATTTTGTATATTATCTACCCATCACTTGTATTTTTGTATTGTTCAAACTGTAGTTAATAAATTCTGAGTGCCCCACTACATAAATGGTCTTGGTTTCCCCTCCCCCATCCATTATCTGACCCTGCATGTTAAGATTTAATACAATATCCTTATAATTGGAATGATAATTTATCAAAAGTATTCAAGTTTACTTTGATCTATAATGATAAATATTTATCAAAAATACTTAAAAAATGAAAATCCTAGTTATTAAAATTTAGCTTTAAAAATTGAAAAAGTTAGTAAAGGTGAAATTATGATAAGCTTTTATTAGGTTTAGCAAATTCAGATGGCTTAAGTTAGGCCTAATCATGATTGATTCTTTTATAACTCACTTTTTTGAGTTACTAATGGTTTAAAACGGTTATACATTTGGAAGCTAATATCTTGTACTCGTATATGAACATTCAAGTTGAATATTTTGATACAAAATCTTTAAAATATATAAGAACTGTGGGAAAATAAAAGTGCTAATTTTTTAAGTATGAAATACCAATATACTTATAATAAACAAACCACTGAATTTTAGAAGTTTCTGTTGTAAAAGAAACAGAAAATGAAAAGGTTGTTTAACTTTATTAATAAGAGGTAAATTCAGAACAGTAAATGATTAATCCAACAATCATCACTAAAACCTACAATATTTATAATTATACAACAATTACACCTACACAAGCCACAAAAAAAACTAACAAATTTAAGTTTTAGTAATTAAACTAATAAGCACTAAATCATAAATAAATTTCAATGGGGAGAAACAGTAAAGGAAAACATAACACTAGTGTTGAAACTCAAAGCCCAGATTTTATTTCCTGCAGTTGAGTTGGTGTTATATATTTTACTTGTCCTGAAAGTAAATATGAACAACATTAAAACATTATTAGAAGCTGATACATAACCACACAAGGTTTAGTACTTGTTTTATAAATCTTAATATTTATAGATATATTATGGAAAAAATTTAAGAATCTATTACAGCTTTTGTACATTAATATTTAAATATCCCTAAATGTTATGCATTACTTGCTTTAGTGATCTAACTGATTGCTTACTGAATAAAGCACATTACATTGTGGAAAAACATTCCTTATGGATATTTGAAATCCACTGATAAAAAATTATTTCAAGATATACAAGAGAATAAAATGACTTTAACAGATTTAGTTACTGAATTATTAAATAATTACTTAAAAACCTTCCTTTTGACATTATTTTTTACCCAAGAGCTGCGTGTTGAAGATATAAGTACTATTACTGATAATTAAAAAAAATATATGCCCCTTGGTAAAAAATATTCAAAAACTATGGTTTTCTGTGCCTTTCCAGTAGGACATACAGGCAAAGTTTTTAAACAAAACTATGGTTTAAAAATTACTTTCTCCAGACACATTAAAAACATTAAATGTATGAGTTTACCATCATATAATTTCCTTTAATTAGGCTTCTGGTTTAATGAGATAAATGTAGAAAAAACAGAAGTACAAGTTTCTCTATACAATAACATTAAATATTTTCTATATACAGTTTCTATATATTTGACATAGATAACACTTCAACAGTTTTATGAGATTAAATAGGTTTTGTAGCCACCACATTTTGTACCATGTTCTATCTTTGTACCCAATTTCATACCTTCTAAATACTATAATAACATAATTGTACATAACTTTTTTTCTTCAACTTTTCCATGCAAGATTAAAAAATTTGAAGACTAGAACATGGTTCAAGAGTTAATATTAAATTTGTTTTATCATTAACGAAATACCCGACAATAACGAATGCATCAAACTGTATATCATCTTTGGAATGACTAACTTGTCAAAAATCCTTTAGACAGCAGGAAGCCATTTTAGCCCCATCACTCATTCACTTCGTTATACTACACGAGTTTCAGGTTTTACACATTACTATTAAACTTGTAACATCATTTTATGTCAAGATACAGCAAGTAATATCAGTAATTCAAACTCAGAGTTAATCACAATGTGAAGTAAATAAACCTAAAATTAAAAAAATATCGGTGGTCTCTTCTTATTTGGAAGTATTTATAAAAACATGAAACAAATATTTTTGAAACACAAATTAGAGCAGTAACTGCCATAATGTACACAAACTGTGAACTTAGTTTTAAGCTTATCATTATCATCTCAACAAGAAACTGAATCTTGTTAACAATAAATCAAGTGAGCTACCATTTATTATTGAATATTTTTGTTTTTAAACTTCTTAGTTTTAAATATTTGTTATATTCTAATTACTCAAAAATTATAAAAATAAATGATTATGATCTTGCCATTCTGAAATTAGTCCTTTAATTATTATGATTACCTTTTGAAAATACATTTACATTAGGTTACAATTTACCTAATTTTTTTTTGAATCATTAATGATAAAATCATATTTATTTCTATAATTGTTACACCATATAATAGGTAAAATATTACAGTAATGACAGATATTGCTAATAATTAATATTAAGTTTGTATTAACTCATTGTAAGACCATGTGATGCAATGTGATGAACACAAATTAACCCCCTTGTATGTCAGAATTTTTTTATGGAAATGAGCCCAAAAAAAAAAAGAATACAGATTTTTATTTCACCTTTTGATAGCATCTCTTGATTTATATGTGATATATATTATTTAAATAAAACTACACTAAAAAAGAGGAATGCTTTTCTCCAGTGTTTATGACACATAATTCAGAATAAATCAAATAGAAATCAGTACAAACAACATTTCCAAAAGCATCTAGTGATAATATGGGAATAAATTTGGGCAAATATTTTTTGAAACATGGAGGGTGCCAAAGTTATTTCAGACAAATAACAGAAGGGGTTAAGATGTAAGTATGGTCTAGAATATATCATTTTTGCTCTTAACAACAATTTTGCACCTATATTAACAACAACAAAAATTAAAAATTGTAATGTAACATAGTATGCACATAACAAAGAAGATATTTAAGCTCAATCAATATTGTTAAATTTTGAATTATTATACATGAATACTTAATCCTCTTGGATACTGGTGCTTAAACTGCTCTGAAGCTGTGAAAGACGTTTTGCTGCAAGAGAGAAGATAAATTAATAAATCTTTTTTGAAATATTCTTTTATAAGCTTTTGTATTCTTAATATTTATCTGTAAACATAAATACCATTATTAAAGTTCTTTGTGATAATTTGACATCTGCTTACTACAGGCCTCAACAAATCCCAGCCACCAGGTCGACTTAAAATTTCATTGTGGTGCCTAGTATTTTCTCCCATTTTATTCATGTGTAGAAGTGTGCTAAATAGATCTCAAAGCTAGAATAGTTCTGAACTCTTGGAAGTCCAGAACTAATTTTGACATTCTTTGAGTCCAAATTCAAACTTTGTTTCTAAGATTTTAATGGCATATTCAACACTTCTTCGTGTTTTTTTTTTTCAGAACTGAAGTGCTGTGGTTGCACAACACGTTACTAATTTCATGCCATTTTGTTTTTCTTCTTTTTTTCAATCCAACCAATCAGTGCGCGTGCTTAGACTTTCTGTGAAAGTAAATAAATGTAGCCCCATTTCTTGGTACATACAGTAGTGAAGTTAGGTTAGGCACACCAAAAGGCCTTTGCTTATCATTGTACGATGTTGTAGTGATGAGTAGATTAGACCTATTCTGAAACAACCTGCTTGGCCTATCAATATCGAGTGATTATTTGTATTTTACTTTCATTCATTGCAAAAATTCACCTAAGTTGTAGTTAGTTAATTAACTGTTTTAATAATTGCGCATATTGAAGTTTAATTTTAATATATGTTATATAATAAAGTTTAATAATGAACCCTATGTTTTTTTGTGTAAAACTGTACGTCTCACACCATAACCACACAACTGACTCAAAATATATTCCATAACTTTTCTGCATCAGATCTGGCGGCTCCTAGCTCTGAAAATATTTGTTGAGTTCTGACTAACCATAACTTTTACCATCTAAAACCCAAGTTACAAATAAATAGTTTGAAACTAGTAATCAAATACCAAATCATTAGTAAATATAATGAGCACAAAAATGTTATGTGTATTTTAATCAATTTAACTTCTAAAAGTTATATTTGTATCTCAACAAAAAGATTTTATCCTCATGTTTTTTTTATAAATGAAACTTAGTCAGTTCTCTCAGTAAAATAAGGCTAATATGAGTGTGAAACAGTAGCAATATTCTTTTTTAACTGTTAATTTATAGCAAGACCTTTTTAACAGTTAAATACACTGATCTACAAATACATCATTGCATGCAACAAAAACACTGAAATAAAAACTAGCACACATTGTTACCCACATTTTAAATAATTTTCGTAAAGAAAGGTTAACAGCCATAGAGAATTTTGCCCATTCTAAAATGCATCTTCTATTCTACCACCTTATGAATTTGAAGTTGTTGCATTATTCCACAGAAAACAATATATGTATATAATAAAATTCACCAAGTACCATATTAGTTTAAAGTACAATTCACATTTCATGTAAAAACACTCGCTGAAGCATAAAATCTACTTACTCTGCAACAGAGTGGTACTGCGGACATCCGTCACAATCCTGCTTATTGTATAAAATAACAAAGGCAGGGCACAAAACATAGCTGTGAGTCCATAAATTGGACTTTCACTGACTTTAAAATAATGACACTTGTATATTTCGCTCCACTGTGCTCGAGTTGCATTCATCTATAGTGAACAGTATAAACAATGCTATGATCTTATATTCTCCATATTTTATAAAATACAAAACATAATACATGACTTACTTCCAACAATGTTCCATTAAACAGTTATTGTTAAAATGTTTTATATTTCATAAAAAAAAAAGGTAAGTATTGTATAGTTCATATACCTTTTCCCAGTCATCAACTACAGATCAAAATTGATAGCATATTCTTACCTAAATCCGACATCATTCTGAGTAATAGCACTAAACAGTTTCTACTTTATATTTGAAATAGTTTTCAAATTAAACTTCGCTACGAATACTTAATATTTATACTTGTAGTATGTAATCAGATATTGTTAGTTTCTAGTTAAGCACAAAGCTACACAATGAGCTATCTGTGTTATCAGATATTGAAAATCATGGTAAATGTATTTTGGATTAGAAAATTCTAGACTTACTTCATTAACTACAGTGGGAAATTCTAGGTTTATATATTTGTGACATAAATGGTAAATACAAGTTACAGCATGGTTCTTTACTAACCCTAATCCCCATTTGTAATGTAAGAAAACTTCATCACACCTATTACACATGTGACTGGAGATGTTCAGTGGAAATTCTTGTTAATCTAACAATCAATGACATAAGATCAAAGGATTTTTGTTTGTATCAATAGAAATCACACCATAATTATTACTATATTAATATTTTCTCCTTGATTCAGTGCTAACATATTCAGGCAGACCAGTGTTCAAAAATTATATTGCCCAACATGCCTTTGATATGTAACAGTTTTGGCTGAAGTTGGGCTCCTAAAATTTTTCCATGTCCTAAAATCACAACAAACTATTCATTTAATGAATTATTTCTGATTTGAGCTTCTCCATACTTTCAAAATTTCTTGATTCAATACTGCATCCTTTTGAAAAAAAAAAAAATGTCAATGAGCACTTTCACAAACAGCACTGAATGTACAGTATTCCAAACCAATCACATAAAGAGGCCTCCATGGCAATTGTTTGATTTTCCTCCTATTATCATTTACATTTATTTGATGATCATAATCAAATAAATTAAAACATAAAAAACAATAAATATTCACTAGTTGTTTTTGAAAGAGATGGGTAACAGTTCAGAAAATGAGCAATAAGAAAGGCCTTCTACATCTCATGCCTATTTTGAAGAACTTTCCACAACCACTCCAACAACATAAACTGAACAGGAACCACATCTTGTGACAGAACCTCCATAAAAGAAAAAGCGAGTATGAAAAAAACTCAGAAACATGTTGTTCTGACTAAATGGCTTCAAGAATTTAAGTGGTGTGAATGCAATGAAGACCACATGGTGATGTGATGTAAAATATATTGCTAGTTTCTCAATATTGCTGACTGGAATGAGGTGTACACAGTGATGCACTTCAAGCTAGTTTTGTGAGAGCATATAACAAAACATTGAAATATAGCTTGTGCATGAGAGCAAAAATAGTAAAAGAGAACCCTAAAGCTATGCCAATTCAAAAATGTATGAGTCGAATGACTGAAGAACAAATGCAGAAAATCAAAGTGTTGTTTAACAGTGTTTATTTCATGGTGAAAAAGAACATGGCATTTAAAAAACTTGAAAAACTGTGTGCATTGTAGATGAAAAATGGAATTGTTTGTGAACAAAACTATTCAAACAACAAAAATGCCAAAGAACTTGTTCATCACACAGCAGAAGTCTTAAAGAAAGAATTAGTAACACAGTTGTAAAGAGCAAAGTTTATATGTGTAATGGCAGATGGGAGTAACAATTGTAATGTGGTAGAGGAAGACATTGTTTATGTTTATATGACGGTAAACTTGTGACAAAACTGGTCAGTTTAGTCAATGTAGAAGGTGCTGACACAAAAGGTGTGCTTGAGGCCATTATCAAGCTCTAGAAGAAATAAAATTAAATGAAGAACAATAGTTGGGAAAGGAATGGTTTCAAATATGGATGATGTTGGTGTAAACATAGGAAAAAGCTCTGGTGTAAAGGCACAAATGACAAAAAAGATTCTGCATCTCATTTGCATTCATTGCATAGCGCATAAACTTGAATTGGCTATAGCAGATACCATTAGATGTACCTACTTGAAAGTTTGAGGATATGTTAAAAAGGATTTTAAAATTATATCAGTATTCTCCAAAACTGTGGCATCAGTTGAAGGAGATAAGTCAACTTTTAGACACATTTGTGGTACATCTGAGCACACTGAAGAAAATTAGATGGCTAGTTAGCTAATAGAATGCACTTCTTGCCATTATGAAAAACATTGTACAAATTGAAGAACACCACAAAAACATTGTACAATTGAGGAACACCACAAAAACATTGTACAAATTGAAGAACACCACAAAAACATTGTACAAATTGAAGAACACCACAAAAACATTGTACAAATTGAAGAACACCACAAAAACATTGTACAAATTGAAGAACACCTCAAAAATATTGCAGCAGAAAGAAAGGGCTATAAAGGAGACCAGAAGTGTGCATTCTATGAAAACTTTGCATTACTGGTTATATGTTTTGGAAATACTGGTGGAAGTGTCGGTGGAGTATCAGTATAATGACTGCCGTATTACAGAGGACTACCATGTGTTGGAAGAGGCATGCATACAACTAGAAGTGCTCCAGTTCTAAACTGGTCTTTACCTGCAGGCATTTGCTAATGGCTATGCTGAGAATACTTTTAGGGGTATAATACTTGCTTGAAGTTCAAATGATCAAGAAAAAACTGGAAGATCTTGTAAGGTGAAACCATTAGCTGCACTGGAAAATGTTTTGTTTTACAAAAAACTACTGCATAACTTCAATGTCTAACATTTGAAAATAATAAAAATTTAAGAATTAATTCAACAATGTAAGTAAATTTTAAGTAATAAAGAAAAATACTGTGCCCAAAGTCAATGGACTGCTCTAAAACTAACTGTAAATAACAATAATAAATATAAAGCTAATTTTTTTCTCTTAAACAGTTGTATACTATAAATACAGAAATACAGGTTATTCAAAACAAACTAAAGATTCATGACCAAAATGTAGATTTAGCACATCTTGTTATTCCATCTCTAATTTCTAAGCAGCACAATATGTAGTATTTGCCTTGAGCTTATAAAGGTCACTTTAAGGCAGTTCTAATTGAATTATAAGACAATGTAGCTGAAACAGTCAGTGATAAGTAGTAAATATATACACGAAAAAAAAATAGCAACCAATCTTAGTTCATAACCAAAATATTACTTTCAAGACATGTAGATTAAGTAATAAAATATAACCAAGCAATTGGATTTTATATTCTAAAATAACACCTTAAACACTTTGGAGATTGGTACCTTAGAGAGAAAGATAATGAATTCTACATTTTATTTGCAAAGCAAAAGTTGACCTTTTTCTTCTAAATGTATAGTTTACATTTTCTTACTGCATTTTTTTTACTCAAATAGTTCTAATCTCTATTACATATATATATATATATATATCAGAACTTACCAAATCTACGATATCCATACAAAGGGAATTCCCATACTTGTTCTTCAAGGATTCATAAAAGGAATTCATTTCAGTATAATTTGCCTTGCAATTTTGGCACACGTTGGCTTCTCTTTTTTCTATTTCCTTATTTATATATAAATTCAAAAATACTAGAATAAGTTCTATTATCTTAACATATTTATGAACATTTTCAGACTAGTGCTGCACAAACCAGTATCTTTAGAACTTTTCAATCAGACTTTTTATGAGTTAAAATATAAAATTTCTTAAAGAATTGCAAAGAAAACTTTATTCATAAAAGTCTAGGTTACTACAAAATACATACAATAACATAACATTTTAATACCTCATCACACCTCTGCAACAGATTATCAGATCAAAACCCAAATGCTACACTACCTATAAAAGCAGCAAAAGAAACATCCGTCAACAGAGTTGTAGACTAGTCAATGTAGCTATAAAAAAATCTCACAGCTTTGTCATTCACATTCTCATTTTAATAGTAATGAATTATTCAAAAAGAAACCAGAAACACTGACTGCATATTGATATGGTTAGATTTTTTCTCTGCTGTAGAGTACAAATTGTTCCTTCCTAACCATTCTGATGTTTATGATATGAATCAAACTAAAGCTCATGGGTGTCAATGGTCAATTACCTGTGGGAACTAAGACACTAATCTATTTTGTAGAGCCCTCAGAAAAAAAGTTGTACTAAAATTGTTTAAAACATTTTTTAAACTATTTTGTACCAAATATTAATGAGATGCATGCATGCACTTCCACCATGTTTGTAAAGGTATGGAAGAGTATATCTTTTTTTAAAATTCAAGCACTTATAAGTCCAAAAGTTTTTCCAAATGTCTTTCATTACAATTATTTCCTGCCACAAGCTCTGGATCCTTCCTATAGATGACAACATCTATATACTACTAAAACTCTGAGATTGTTTGTTTGTTTGCTTGTCTGTAATTAAATACAGCAAAAACAGTGCATAATAGCACCATATTTGTAATGAAATGAGAATAGAAACAGAATAAAACAAGTTTTGTTAAAATCTGGCTACGGGTTATCAAGTTAGTACTGTTTTTCGGGTCATTTTTATAAAAATTTCTTGCATGAGTAATTTTACATCACACTACCATTCGTACTCTTTACGAAACTTCATCTGGCCACAGGTTACAGAGTTAGTGCCGTTTTTTTAGGTC